ATATAATAAATATATGAGATAAATAAGATAAAATAAATAAAAGAAATATATTGTATAAAAGAAATATATGTTATAGATGACATAGATGACATAAAAGACATATATGATTTTTTAGGGATCGACGTCATCCTTTAGATTATCATTATCTATGTATTCTTTCGTGTAACAATATTAAGAAGATCAAATTTTATTTCTTCATTTTCATTCTTAAGCTTTTCAGTATATGGCTTAGTGATGAAATTATTTGTCATAAAGAGTAGACCAGATAGACTAACGTTAAAATTTATACTAGAGAGTAAAAAGCTACTTCTTGATCTTTGTTTAGTTCTCTCGTTTTCATCTTATATATTTAAGGTTGTCAATATATTTATCAGATGTTTTTGCCTACACTATTTTAAAAAAATGATTTATAATATACCAGTCACATCTAATTTGTTTACAAAACTATAAACTATACTCAGTAAAATATACAGAAAGACGTTTATAGTAGGTCACTTTCTGTATATAAGATCTGGTTACCTGACTGAAAGCTTTTATAAACTGTAACTTCATTATGCTTTTGGATCTATATATTATAACAGTTTGTATAAAAAATACTGATATTTTATAACTTCTTCTAAAATTTTATCAATTTCATTCTTTAATTGCTATTTTATAAAATACCTAAAGAATTATTATATAGTGATTTCGCTTGCGATAATATTCTTTCAAGTTGAGAGATTTTTTCAATATATATATTTTCATGGTCAATCTTTTAGGAAAAACATATATGCAAAAAGAATTAGTTAATTAAGAAATATATTGAGCAAGGTAGTTTTCTTAGAGAGGGTAATCATAAAATGAATATAATTAAATAAGTAAATGTGAGAGAAGTGAGAGAGAGAGAGAAAGAGCTAAAGAATATATGATAATATAATAATAATATATTCTAATAGACTCTTGATTATGCAAAATAGTAATATACTCTTAATTGATAGCCTGTTATGACGAAATAGTAATATACTATTGATGAATTCTGATTAGATTAAATTTTATTTATTTTTTTTTTTAAAAAGAATTGAAAATGCTTCATTTTTCTTTAGAAATTTTTTTTATATCTTTTTTTCTACAAATTTTTTTTTCTACAATGGCTACTATTTAACATAAGTATTTTGAAGTAAACAATGTTGAGTCCTAGTCAATTTCTAGTTTTCTCAAAGCTTAGAATAGTGACAATAAAGGCCTTGATCAATTTGCTCATTGTAAGGCTATGGATGCATTCTTTAAGAGTTTCTGTGCAATTATTTATAAAAGCTTAAATGTAAAAAAGTTTATAAAACTAATAGTCTTTTGGATTATCTTCAGGTTTGGTTATTCCTGTCTTCTTTTTCATTGTTTATTACTACAGATTTTTCATTCATAACTTTTGCTGTCTATGGACTTTTTATTTATAGGACTTTTTATTTACGACTTTTATTGTATATGACTTTTAGTCCTTGACTTATTGTTATTTACAAACTTTTGTTGTCCATAGATTTTTCATTCATAATTTTTATTATTCATGACTTTTAATTCACAATTTTTGTCATTTATGATTTTCAGTTCACGACTTTTTGTCATTCATAACTTTTAGTTTACAAATTTTGTCATTCATGATTTTCATACACAACTTTTATCTATGACTTTTTGTCATTCATGATTTTTCATCCACAAACTTTTATCATTTACAGACTTTTTATTATTTACAGACTGTTTGTAATTTATGATTTTTCATTTACGACTTTCATTAATGACTTTTCATTAATGACTTTTTGTTATTTACAAACTTTTTATCATTCATGATTTATCATTCACAACTCGTCTACAGACTTTTTTACTACAACTTAGATTTTTTATCCATGATTTTTTTTGTCAATATATTGTGTTTTAGGTTTAAATTTCTTTTTATTGTTAGAATTGACGTATTATTTACAAAACTAATTATAATAACCTAGAACTGAACAACCTACTACAGATTGATAATGTGGTGACTATATCAACTAAATTGATAATTGGATTTAAGCGAGCAGATAAAAATGAAAAAGCATCAACTCACTAAAAAAAGTTAGAATAAATGAATTATCAAATCATAAAAAGGTTAAAAATAATTGTTGATGGTAAAGCTAAGATAAAAACTTATGGATATTTTACTATATTTAGGGGAAAAAGAAGGCTATCAGGTCAAAGTGAACTTATAAAACTGGAAATGAAGTTGTGGATCAACAAAAAAAGTGAAATAATGTGTCAAGTACTTTTTGTTTCAGGTAACAAATAATTTACATTTTATCTTGCAATCAGGACAAAATCGAAGTTTACAAATGTCAGTGATTTAGTAAATCATTTATTGAGTTAATTTTTGTGGCTTATAGTTCTAAAATGTCTTCTGACAATGATATATAAATGACACAAATCAGAGTGATAGTATGACTACATCCATCACAAAAAGAAAGCCTAAATACATACAATATGACTTATCTCAAGAATTTTTAACTAGTTTGCGTTTGCTTCCTTTGAAAGGCAAAAAATGATTTTAGAAAGGTTATGATGTTTGTAACATTTTTCAAAATGACGTTAATACCAGAATGTAATATATTACCTGAAATACTCGTGATCCTTTGTAAAATTTTCACATTAATACATATTTATTTTTTGAAACAGTTCATTACACATTGGTGTTGTCAATTTCTACATCTTATGTTCACGATTTCTGCCACTATCTATGATTACATATATACAACAACAATTGGAAACGATGATGATGATCACATATTTTTTGATGATAACAGACAACGTGGAATCAGTGTTGGCAAATGACCTTGACCTTAAAATGACCTAATCATGTGATGATTTTACTATGAAATCTATCACGTGATCATATATAAGGTGACCTAGGTCACTTCAAAAAAAGGGAAATGACCTTGAAATTTGCCAACACTGCGTGGAATAGCCAAGTTTGGAATAGAAGTTGGTAAAGAAGTTGAAAAGTTTCTTGAAAAATTTTAAGATTGTGTAAGTTTGTGTTCTTCGAACAATTTTAACAATATAACTTCAGACAATTATGTCATTGCAGGAAACACTAGATGCATTACGAAAAGACTTGTATGATAATTCAATTTATGAACACTCAAATTATAGCTTTGATATCAAATATGCATACCAGTTGTTTTCACATATGTGTGTATGGCTTTAAACTTCTGCTGCAATTTTCAAAGATGAATACTCCATTTTTTATTACGGCTTTTCATAAAAAGGTACAATATCTACTCAAATGATATGCTAAATCGACCTCTTACTGAGACTGAATATGTGGCATATGTGTGGACGCCACTAATACGATATGCGTTTATGGAGCAAGACATTCGCATTTCTAGGTATGTACTGTCTGATACATTTTATTGTACCTATACACTACCTATACACTAATAATTTTTGGGAATTTTTTTTTTATTACAAATTTCAGCGGGGAAGTTGGATCTCTTGCGTATGAAAAGTTAAAGAAAATTTCTCAGCAGCAGTCAAAGAGTGGATTCAAAAGCAACGATTATATCGACAGGAATGGATGTACTCATTCAGGAAAATGCGAAAACTGAAATTAGTAGCAAAAAAAAGAACGATTTAAATAAACTCGAGTATTGCACAAAAATATTACTTACCAATGCTTATTTAGCACTTTCCACTATTGCTCGCAAAGATTGAATTGAATTGATGAATTATAAATTTTTACATTTAAATTGATGCATACATTGATTTAACGCATATCTATAAAATACCAAGTTTTTAGAAGAAAAAAGAGATCTAATATGTGAATAATTTATTGCAAATACTGAGTAATATTTGTATGACCTTTCATGTCAATGGCATTGTTCTTTGATATTTTTCAACATCATATATATATAAAGATTTATTGTGAACAAAAATTTTTATTTTCATACGGTAAAAAATATATTTATTTGGAAGGTGTTACATTTGGCAGGTGTTACAACACGCTAGATTTAATTCGTTCAGTTATCACCGATTCTATACAACTGATCTAGTATAAAACCAACATGTTTAAAGAAAAAAAATTTTGTTCGCTTCAAAAAGAACGCGATTGGCGCCAATTTTTAATTTAAATTTATGCATTTATGCACTTATGCACGTGCATAATACATTAATACTTTACATAATCTCGAATTATTTTATATCGAAAATTTGATTTGGGTTTATTTCTTCAAGACACTGTTAATAATGAAGCTTTCTATTTCGGTGACGGAAGCTTCTTCTGTTAATGATACGATAACCTTTCAAATCATTACCAAAGCGCGGGTATAAAAACACGTTTTTTTTATTTCCAGTTCCATTTTTTATTTTAAAGATGACGAACATCGCGTTTCTAACAAACTCTCTTTTCTTCTTTAATATACAAATTGTATAGGAAAATAGTACCATAGATTTCACTTTCGCGTCTCCAGTGTATCGTACTTATCAACAACTTAATTGGCTTTATTCTAGACTTTGTTTAAGGTTACCTGAATATGTCATTCCACCAATTCCTGAACCTCCTATTCCAAATTTACTCGATGATTTGGATTATATCAATCGTAAAAGAGTTCAAGTTGAACGGTTCTTACAGAAACTTGGAAATAGATCAAAATTTGTCGAAAATATGGATTTTAAATACTTTTTGACGAATAATATGGTAAGTTTCACCCTTATATTTTAGGGTTCAAAAAAACCAACTGGATGTAAAACTAATTCATTTTTTTTTTTTTTAAAAAAAAAAAAAAAGACCCATGATGATTCATTAGATGGAAAAATGGGAAAAAAATTGGGATTCTTAAATAATATCATTAAACCCAATTATGAACGCGGTTTTCGTATATACCGTCCCAGTGAACCAATCGAAGAAGTAAGTTATCAATTTGAATCGTTTTATCGAATTCGATAAGTTTCAATAATTTTTATTTTTCTCGCCGTCTAATTTAAAAAAGAATAATGCCGAAGAGTTTCAAATGCGTGTGATTTATGTCCTGAGGCTCGAAGATCAATTCAATGCCATACTTGATAATGTCAATGAGATGATAAAACAACGAGAAGGTATATATCGTTTATTGTCACCATCATTATTCTTCATTATTATTTCTGATTTTAATCCCTTAATTTATTTTAGCATTGGGAGCTTGTATAAATCATGTTGGTGATTGTTCTTTACAAGCATTAAATAGTAAATTTCGTATGGGACATGGAAAGTCAATTAATAATGTTGAACGTCATAAACAATATGATTCTATGTTGCATTTGTTTGGAACTCTCACGAATGAAGTTCATTACTTATTAGGTCGACAGGTTAGTGTAAAAATAAGTATTTGCGCGATTTTATTCTAAATATTGACGCGGAAAAATAATTATATCTTTTTCATAAAGGCCACAATGGAAAGTATCATATTTGGTGACGTGTTCTTGGAATACAGAAATATAATAGAAGCTATAAAGGTAAATGATTCGAAGATATACTTCATAAAAATAAGGTTTGATTCATTTGTAATTTTTATTTTAATTTTTAGACTGTTATGAATAACAGAACAGAAAAATTGGTGGAATATGTTAATGCTGTAAAACAAAGAAATAAAAAATACGAGAAAGCAGAAAAGTTGAAGTCAGTTAAGGGATTAGATTCATCTGACGTACAAGTAGCAATTGCAGAGGAATCCAAGGTGAAGTCAAAACTTGATCTTTTTTTTTTTTAAAAAAAAGTTCAATTTCGAAATGATACTAATTTACCTCGTGCACATATCTTTTTTTACATATATTCAGTTAACAGAAAATGTACAAAAGGAGAAAGAAGAATTTATCAACGTACAAAAGACTGTTACAAGAGAATTGATTAGATTTAAAAAGGAAAAATCTGATGAGCTTAATAAAATCTTAAAGGAATATTCTGAATTACAATTAAGATTTGAAAAGCAAAAATTAAAAGCTTTAACAAGTTACTTAAATAAATTAAAAAATATATCATCAGATGAAGTTGCAGATGTTGAACCACAGAGCGATCTTGATAATATTGCAGAATTTCGTGGCATTACTGTCATCATGACTAGAGTAAAATCTAATTTACAACAAAAAAATCAATTAAAATATCAGCAGCAGCAATTACACCATCAACAAGAGCAACGACGAATTAATAAAGAAGTAAAATCTGCTCGATATGATGGAAATGATTTCAATATAGATCAAAAGAAATCTCCTGAAATCTTTCAAAGATATGATCCTTTAAATGTTACACCTATATAAACTTTTATAATGAATATTTACTTACTTACTTATATCCTTTGATTATATAGATAGATAATTTGTATCATAATTTTACATTCGTTTTATCAGCTACAAATTTTTTAATTATAATATAAATACAATCAAAAGTTTTTTTTTTAAAAAAAAAAAAATCTTTAACAATAATGATATATATATATATATATTTCTTTTTGGACAATAAATAAAATAAATAAATTATAATTTAAAATTCAAGATGATTTCAATTGTTCTAATTGAGCCGTTAATGCACGAATGGTAACTTCACGTTGTGCCAGTTGATTCCGCAGTTCATCATTTTCTTGACGCAATTGATGATATGCCTCTTGATACTAAATTTAATATTAAAATTAAATTAATGAATAAATAATGTCAAATCGCTCATTAACACAATTTAAGCCTCTTTAAAACATACATCCTTTTCAGTTTTTGGAATTTTCTCCTCTTCTTTTGGCGCGGAAGAAACAAACTCTTTCTTCTCCTTAGCAACAAATCCATTTTCTAAATCAATAGTTTTTGGATTTGCATTTTTACCTCCAAAAAATTCATCGGCTGTTAATGCTGGTTCATCACTTAATGCCGGAGGGAATAAATCAGGTTGAAAACCATCAGACTAAAGATAAAATAAAGTGGATAAATAATATATACACATTTTTAAAAAAAAAAATTTCTCGGACATATATATATTTGATACAAACCCTTCGTGGCACTACAAATGAAATTGGTTCAATACAATTACTAGTAACTTTATAAGCCTTGGTAATTTCGCATTCATTAACGTTTACACCACGTTTAGGCATAAATGCCATTCCGCGTTGAGGTTCAGATGATTTGTACTCTGACAAAAAGAATAATTCATCATTTTCGAATTCATAATATCGAATATTCCCATCACTATTAAACATAAAATTAATTAATTATTTCGAAGGAAAAAAAAATTACAAATATTACGACTTCAACACATCTTTTACTGACCCCTAATTAAACGCGACAAATATATATATATATATATATTTTTTTATTAAAAAAAAGGGGGGAAAAAGAAAGTTAATTTCAATTTTAAAATAAATGATATTTTTATTTTTATTTTTATTTTGTAACATACCTTGCCTGCCAAATACAATATCTTTGTATCTTCATCATAAAATGGCATAACAATCCCAGATGATGTGTCCAACATCATAGTTTTAATAGGTTTCTCTAATTGAGTTGAATCCCAAAGATAAACCTGACGATCACTCATCTTGGAAAAACCTGTTGTCGCAAGTCGTTCAGTGTCACCAAGCCATACTACTCTAGACCCTTTAATACCCTGATGACTTGCGGCTTCTTGAACTACCTTACTAGATCGAACATCAAAAATCCTGAGTTTCTTGTCACGACATGTAGTAACCATTAAACTACCATTCCAATTCCAAGACATAGATTGTACAAAATCCAAGAAACCTTTGAGTTCTTGTTTTTCTACACCTTTTTCAATATCCCATAATTTTATGGTAAGATCCGCGGATGAAGAAGCAAGAACATTATCTGCCACAGGATGAAATAGGACATGACCAACTTTTCTTCCATGACCAGTCAATTTTGATACGGGTTCAATATCAGGAGATTCTGGTTCACCGAGTTCTTCTGGAACTGTCCAAATCATTACCTTGGAATCTTCCCCACATGATGCAACAACGTTATCGTTAAAGTTCGCAAAGTCTGTATCCAAAACGGGAGCGGTATGTGCGCGATAAAGTGGTATACCGTCATGAATTTTACCTGATACAAGTAAAAATAGATAAACCAATTATTTATCAAATCATGATAATAAATAATCAAATCTTTTTGTATTAAAACTTACCAACATTCTTATGTGGAATGACGGCAAAAGCCCCGCCTCCCCCGGCATTCCAATTAATGGAAACAAATGACTGAAAATAGGATTAATTAATGACAATTATTCATATTATCAATCAATTCGTTGAGCATTTGAAACAAAAGAACTTACAGGATTAACTTTCACGAGATTAGTATCCCACGCGTTTGACGAAACTTTAACATTATCAAAGCAATTTTCATGTTTTGACCCCGTACCGAAAACGTGTCTAGAAGATTGAAAAAAAGCAAGCTAACATACGTTAATCAAAAACATGTAGTCAAATTGCCATCAAAAAGTTGTCATTAAACATTATAATACGATAAAGAACTTAAAGTCAAATCGTATATAGTTTAAGATGAACAGTACCTGAATTTTGAAGAGCGAACAAAACGAGACATTTTAATAATTTAGATAGATAAATTTATGATTAAAGACAAGGAAAACTGTAATTAATAAAAGAATTTTTTTTTTTTTGAACAAAATGTTCGCGTTAAATATTTATTAACGAATCATCCCATTTTCACCAAATTTATCACGTGAATTCACTATTTTATCCAATAGAATACAAGCTTAATTATATTTATCATAATAATCTATATGAGGTAAAAAAATTCCCCATTTTTTTTTTATTATTATTATTAATTAATAACGTACTTGGAATAATAAATAATTTTTCCTTCTAATTCGATCTATTATATTATATCTAAATAAACTATATAAATTTCTTTACAACAAAAATGCTTTTTGAAATAGAATTTAACCCATTCTATATGTAATATCTTGATTGAAAATACTCTTTTTAGGATCCTGTTTTATACGTTCATCTTTAATCAATCTATTTAAAATTAATCATTTAGTTAAATAAATTTCAAATGATAAAATAAAATAAAAACCCAACCATTCACCCTTACCTATTATCAAGCCTTGGATCATCCCCTTCAACGCCAATCCCAAAGGAAGGAGTTTTGGCTTCCAACACATAATGATTGTCACAGTGAGGGCAATATTCATCTGTTTCATCAAAATTCTCCAGATCTTTACGGAAACATTTTTTACATTTTTTGCAGGCAAAAACCATCTCAATGGACTTTGCTAATTCATGATCTGATGCTTCTGCATGGCATTCAGCACAATCAAACCAACGCTTACAGCATGGTGCACGAATTGAAACCTTTTGGTAAAATATATTGCAGCGTTAATAATTAGATCTAAAAAAAAAAGTAGCAAATAAATAAACAACACACCATATACCTGAGCGTTAAGTATATGTTTGCACATCTTTAATGTTAAATTGTCAAAAAAAAAAATAAAAATAAAAATTAAGGTAAGGAGGGAACATAAAGTAAACTTATATGCGTTTTATGTGATCCAATGGTGTTCAATTAATTTGGCAAACAAGACCTAACCTTAAAAGGCTAAATATTTCGTCTAGTATTGTACAACGTCCATCACTTAATATGTCGTAAATATCAAACAAATCATTAACATTTTTTTTTTTCCACTCGTAAAAAAGATGTCTAACAAATCTGTTGAAGATTGGGAAGCTCAATTAGTTGGAAAGAAATTTGTTCGTGGCAATATGTCAATTTCGGCTGAAGAACAGGACAAGGTAGATAGAAATAAAAAGGGTGTTCAAATAATTTTTTATTTATATATATATACTTTTTAGGTTGTCCGTGAAACGGATTTGCCGGCTGGTCATAGAGTCGTCCCACCTGATGCTATGGTAACCATGGATTTTAAACCAGATAGGTACAAAATAAATTATATTTAATATGATGATTTTATATTTATTATTTATTTTTATTTTGTTTTATTTAGGTTGAATGTTTACATCGATCATTCAAGTATAGTTACTAGTGTGAAATTTGGTTGAAAAGTTAATTTTTGCATTACTGTATATGGTCTCAATAATTCAACATTTTCATTTTAATGGTGATTAGAAATAAATAACGACTTAATGAATGAATACTTTTCATTGGTTTTTACATTATTAATTGAAACTTTCAACTTTGGAATTGGATAAATCAATGCCCCCCAAATTCTTTCTTCGAAAACGGTTGTCGGGCGACCATTTACATCTGACTTCATCATCGTAATCTTTATGATTTTAAAGGTTCATCTTCCAAAGTACATGTAATCTCCCAATCAATATTAATAGATTATTTCAATATCTGAAGTATACAATCTTGTTTAAAATTGCGTCCTTACCTTATACATGTATAACATAAAAATTTTATTAATGTGAATAGTGAAAAATATATATATATATATATATTATATAAAATATCATTCATGTTATTATTATTTTTTCACAAGATAATTAATTCTTGATTATATCATCATCTTTACACATGAAAATGTTAAACCGTTTTTCATTACAGAGAAACCTCTCTAAATGCACCTCAAAGGATAGCAAGTGCGAACTTGTACTCTATCATTTTCCGTTTCACTATTTACAGTATACCTCGGGCATTAGACAAAATGTTCGTCCATAGTTCGGCCTTTATATGGTTTTCAGACGGTTCGCTTCCAATGTGTAGGTATGTATACAACTTAAAGCATCAATTTTGTAATAGCTTCCATAACCAGTTAACCAAACAAATTTCTGATTTTATTAAAAATAGTACATAATTATCTTGCTATTTCAAGGTGCTAGTGTACCAAGTAAACAAGCATTTTCAGTTGCATCACATATTATTATAAAAGTTTAAAATCATCTTAATTTTAATACAGCTTGTATTTTTTGTATTTAAAAAGCTAGATGAAATAAAATACTAGTTCAGTTAATAATAGAATTGTTTATTATTTTAGTAATACTATTTTAACAATAAAATATAATAAATGAATTTATTAAACAAATTACAGTTAAAACTCAATATATTTAACATTATAACAAATTATTCAGTATAGTAGATTATTAATTTTATTACACAAATATAATTTTACTATGATATAATTTTTTCAGAAATATTTTTACATTATTTTGTAAATTCTAATCATTTTATTTAATGTGCAATCTGTTAATTGTTATACAACAGTTTTATTAATTTATAAATTTTTTTTTAAAAAGAAAACTAAATGAGTTGAAAAATGAAATGAAAAATTTTTTATGATTATTACCTTATAAATACATTATGATTTTACCTTATATTTTAGATTTATCTTGTAATATGCAAATTACAATTTCTCCTTTAAGTATGCCTTGATTTTAAAAAAGTAATATTTTTAATATAAATCTAAAAAAATCAATTAAACATTTTTAATTACTACCTAATCTATTTCAGAATTGAATCCTGAAAAAGTTGTATAATCTTTCTGCTATATAAATTCACCTCTTACCTCTTGACCGATATTCTTATGTATCATATACTCTAAGGTGATATTTAATGGATGTGATCATCATCACAAGTAGTAGGTCATTATGGAAATAGTCGTTGTTGATTTAACTCCCCCGAAAGTTGAACGTTTTGGAATCTTATTCAAACTCAGAAGACACCACGATAAGGATGTATATGGTGTTATAACAAATGAGGAAATCTGACAGGATCCCAAAAATATTTATTTTTCATCAATCTATTCATAACGGTACCATAAGATTGGGATTAAAAATCCCATATAATAATTACCCTATACAGCAAAGTTTAATTTAAAATATTATTATTATTTTTTTTTTTTTCATTAGGTTAATTTCAAAAACTTTCGATCATGGATTGCAAAATTTTTCCATTTTGAGATTTCACAACAAAATCATTTATGCTGCTCAGTCGTGTATGCTTAGCCAGTGGTAACTATAAAAGTGTAATTTAGAGAAGTGTCAAAACAATATTTCTTTTGACATGCAAAAGTTAACTTATCAGAAGAGAGCATGAATTGATAAGTTAGAATAACGATCTATAATGGGCGCAGCCATTTGTAGAGGAAACAATACTTCTCATGTTATTGGCTCGGGGGGGGGGGAGATGAGTAAGATAACGTGTGAATCTGATCATGAGATCATGCCAGCAATATTACTTGACCAAAAATTAATGTCTCGTTCAGACCTTATGCTCACGGGAAAAGGAACTAACATTTACAAATTTATTCGTATGATGCAGCTACATTAATCTCGTACGATCAATTTAAGAGTTGAGCCAAATTAAGGTGAGTTTTGTTATTGGTCATTTTCGAAAGAACAAAATCGATGTCATCAAAATCTAAGATTTGAAGATCAAATATCAATATGTATTGTCCGATGCATTTTAGTTAATCTTTTTTTTTTTAAAAAAAATAATCAGATTTACAACCAATTATAGGACTAGGATATTTTATAAAATTGGTTTTAATAATAATGACCAATTTTTTTTTTTATTCTTGATATTTTTTTCAGATTAATTATATTCGCATCCCAGATATAAATTCATTGAGACGTTTCCTTTGGCCATTTCTAGAGAGGATGGGACACATATTTTGAATTGTGAGACGAATATCAAACGATTACATAAAAAGTTGCTAATATGAAACATAAGGTAAGAGCAAAAGAGCTTCTTTTTTTTTTTGTTTATGGAAATACTTTGCTAATATTTTACCGTATTGGATTCAAAAAAAAAAATGTAATCCGAAGAAAATAATTAGATAGATTCGGACATGGAGGCAAATGAATGTCCTAATTATAAAAAAAAAAATTATTTAAATTGTTATGCCTCAAAAATTCGACTTGCGAAATGACTGAAAACAAAAAGGTTTTATATTTTTATAAAAATTACTGGTAATTTGATAGTGAGCATGCTTCAAAGGAGCAAAATAACATTGGCATTTTATATGGTAGAATCAGTTAATTTTTCGAAGCCTCGTAAATATTATTAAAGGTTGAAATTATCAATCGAATGATGCAATAATCACGTACATTACATCATTTGTATATAGTCACATGAACTTGTATTGAAATTGCGTTGAAAATATCATTTTCACAATCAATCAATTGTAAAGTGTCTTCATGCATAAATTGGAAATAAAAGATGAAAAGCGTTGGTTGTTACACGAGCTACGAGCCTATTTCTTTTTGATAAGTACAAGTTTAGACAAATTACTTTGCATGTATAATCTCCTAAAATTTTATCGCATACCTTATCGAGCTAGAAATTTCTGAATTAAAACATGAACGGCCAAACCTATAGTAGATAGAATTTAACCAAAATGGACGCGATTGGGGGGTGAAACTTATGATAACGATGGTAAAGGATGAGGAATATCTTAAGGTATCCAAATTCATTGAACCGAATACACGGGGACCCCTTCAGAAATATAAATTAAACGCGTAATCACCTTGAGTAACCCTAGATGAAAACACGACCGACATTGGTAAAAAACGATTGGAACTTACAAAACCAAATATATCATATTTGACATGGCATGACTGAATCACATAGCTTTTCATATGAATGATAGATATAATAATGAACACAATACTTTTTTATTCCATGAATGAACTGTCGAATTTGATTATCGTATAAATTGTATAAATATATTTACAGTTTCGGATTTATGAGTTGATTGGCATATCAATTTCTTCAATTTGACTATACCCGATTAAATAATACATCAATGAATTCCGAATGAGATTTGAACGTACCCTACACCTTCAGAACGCTAATTCAACGCGATTGCTTATTAGTGAGTACAAGTTTTTTTTTTTTTTTTTTTTTTTTGATGGTAATCTGATCATTAAATCATGTTTGTAATATTTTTTTAACTTGATATTATTATTTTTTCGAAGAAGAGAAGAGAAAATTCTTTTTTTTAAACTCGGATCTCTTTTTTTTTGTAATCCTTCAATGATACCGAAAATGGGAAATCAATAGAATCCTAAATTAACTAAAAAGAGGGTATCTGTGCCGTTTTAACTATCAGGTGACAGGGTCAAAAAAAAAAAATTTTTTTAACATTGTCTTTTTACCGGTTTTATATGTTATACATATTTTTTTTTTAGGTTTAAATTATGTATGTCGTACAACCTAGCCCCTTTTATGAAATTCAGGGGCCCTGAAATATGAAATTGTCTACCCTGTAAAATATTTTTTATAAAAAGAAATTTGGGATATTTAGAGATGATATAAAATTTATATATATTATAAAAGAAAAATGTCGAGATTAAAAAAGAAAAATTCAAGATAATGCTAATGAATGCACCAATTTTTTTTTTTGGATGCACTTGAGTGAATTCAAATGCCAATTGTCAAAAGTTAGTATTCTTGTTTCATCATTTTAAGTTTTGAGGAGTACACGATAACGTATTGTTTAATTTGATCATTTTTATTCAATCATGTGGAGTAAATCTTAATCATCCTCCCAATAGATGTTTAAAAGGTATTTTTACGTGAATTTGTTTAAATGAAATAATTTTAAAAAATATAATTTAAAAACAAAATATAAATTTGTTTTTTTTTTTTTTTTTTTCATTGCCTTGGCAAAACCAATTTTTCAATTTTAATAAATATATTAAAAAATTTATTTATTGGTATTACGCGAAAAAAGAACCACCCTGGTTGCAATTATGTAATGTATTGGATCCGAGAAACAATACATTTGAATTTTTCATGATAACTATTATGGACAATAAAAGAATGTATTATTATCGTTCCACAATGCCTAGCATTACTACCATCACGGTTGTATTGGATAGGGTATGTGTTTCAATCATAATTTTAAAAAAATATCCTTCCAATTTCGGTTCTAAAAAGAAAAAAAGCCAAAATTCTATTTCAGTCTTAAACCCTATAATTCATAATGAGCATTGTGTAAAAGGGGTAATAATAATGTTTTGTTACCCAAGTGTGGAAATATATGATTTATAAATGGTGTAATAAATTCAGAGTTGTTCATGTCTCCTTGTTTTCTTTACAGAAATGCAATCATAAAGTAATTTTTTCACGTGTTAATTCTTTAACTTTGAATAATAATAATTTAATTTTCTCGTGACACGTTATTTTTTGTGAATATATAAAACCTTATGTACTGTCATCAAAATAAATGGTATTTTTACGCCCATAACAACAACAAATAATAATAAATTATTTAAACTTTTTGACATGATGTGTTGAAAATCTACAAGTTAAATAATATTATAAACCCGAATTGTTATTTTAAAATTGTCCGAATATATTTTTCTTAAAGTATATCACACGGCAATAAATATGGAAGGCGAAAAGTGGTGTTCAAATGTTTAAGGAGCAACTGTTGTACTAAAATATAACTATTTAAAGAGTCGAATTTGATTATGATTTTTGCTAGGAAAACGCGAGCCATATAATGAACAAAGGGAATCTGTAAAGATCCTTTTGTCATTTAAGAGATAAGCAAAACTATATAGATAAGAATAATTCCATTTTAAGTAAATAAAAATAATACGACTCAACATGACACAAACAATTCGACAATTTAATTATTCGTATGACGGCAACGGTTGGTCTCCAGAGATGTTAAAAGAAGAAAGCGCTGATGTCGATATCAGCGATATAAATATTGTATTAATTTGTAACAATGATATTCGGCTGGCGACTCAAATTGTGAACAGGTTAAGAAAGCGGGGAGCTAAAAAAATTCGTTTATGCTATCCCGAAGAACTACAAATTAAAGTAAACATAATTATTCATTTACATTTTCACATGTTGTGATCTAAATGATAAAAACGCAATGTATCAATGTTCCTTATATCATTCCTTTAAGTTCGTAAAGGCCGATATCGATGCGATCGGAGTGCCAGTTTACTTGCAGTCCCAAGCTTACTTCGAATGGAACATAATAGGTAAGATGTCTTTACAACTTGATATTATTTTGATTATTATGATTATCACTATTATTAATATAGGACCCCAAAAAATACACCAAAGGTAAGATTTGATGTTGCCTTTGAATCTATTAAAATAATCATATCGATCTTTTTCTTTTCTGTATATTCTCAGCAGGGTTCCTAGAGTTATGCGTGTCCGGCCAAAATTACAAAATACATGCCTTGACTATTTAATTATGCTCGGTCCTATTATCATGACTTAATGCTAAAATTTACTTATTTTCTCAATTCTCAATGCCTTTTAAAGATGCGACGGTTGTGATCAGCTTATTATATAATAATTTCGATAAGCAAGAAATGTTATTTAACGCATGTATTCGACAGAGAGTTTCGCTTTTCATTACTTGGGACTCTGGAATGGAGCTGTAAGGTTCAAATAAATTTATATATCTTTTGATTATTTAAGAAAAATAACGCGTTAATTCTGCTTAGGGAACTATTCGTTAAAGATAAAGAATGTCCTCGAACAAGGTTGCATAAAAAATTGTTAGATCATCAAATGATATGTAAAACTAACCCGTGTGGAATGCATTGGATTTTATTTCAAGTCGGTATCTTTGACGAAGAAATTCTAAAACATGACATTTCTACAATAACGACTGCATTCAATAGTCCCAATCAATACATATTCTTGAATGTTACAGTTAAAGAAGATTTAGCTCAATTAGTCGTTGAGTCCATGGTGTCAAGAACAATCCAACTTGATAGAAATTATGTTGTAGGTGACTTCATTGCTCATACATTTCTAGGTCATGTATATCAAGTCGCAAATAACGGTAAGATCATAATTTTAAAAGGGTTTTGGTTGATGTATATCATTTGTATGAATGCTTCTAATTTCAAAATTATACGAATGAAAGGCATGAAATATAATCATAAGATGCCAGCATCCATAACTGAGTTCGAAACCTCAAATCAATTGCGCTTGGCTGGTATTGTTTCTGCACGACCTCTTCCGCGAATACTATATCCAGGGTGTAGTATATTTCTTCAAAAACTTGGTATCGAAGTTTCTTTTCAACATGATGCAACTATCTATAAAATTTTAAGACATCATCAACAGATCACCTTAAAAAAATGGTTCTTTAATAAAATTTCAAACTCGGCATATTGATCTCTTTTTTTTTCTTTCGTTTTATCGCTATATCGGGAGTAATTTTAGTTAATATCGCAAATTTTTCTATCTTTTTTATCGTTTTTTTAAGTTTTAGATTAAGATTTTTTTTTGTAAGTTTAATAAGTAATTATGTGGCACTATTGTTTCGAGCATATGAAATGATTTATGATTTATGTATAAAAAAACCGAGTTTTGGATTAAGAATTTTATGGGTATTTTTTCAAGTCATACGATAAGATCAAATAAAATTAATATTTAATATGATATCATGCCGATCATTTCATTATTAGTGTACCACTTTATGAGGTCACTTATCGTTCCTTTTATTTGTCACGTGACATTATTTGGAATCTTTTGAAAATGGTTGGAGATATGTTTCCGTTTTGAAATACAGATTGCATTTCAAATAATCTTTGAAAGTTTTTTAAAATAATTTCAAGCGAATATCGAAATGATTTTGGATATCGAAAGTCATTTTGGAATTATCGAATTGATTTCGAATATCGAAAATCAATTCGGATACCAAATCATTTCGGATATCCGATATTGAATATATATATATACAGTCAGACCTCTCTAAATGCACCCCTTCGGGACCGAGTAAAAGAGTGCATTTAGAGAGGGTGTGCATTA